AATGCCCTAGCCCTTGTCATCCCCATTGCCCTATCAGCCCTCACAGACCAGTCGCTGAGGCAGCAGTGGTGGCAGCAATGACTGAGGTAAGTCCAGGGGTGGGGGTTAGATTGAGCTGTACCGGGGGGTTTCTGAGCTCAGGTACACCCGAGCAGCATCCTTGAGTTTCACAGGACCCAGAAGCCCTTGGCAGCGAACCAGGCGAGGAGGGGGCCGTGCCAGTAACATCTGAAGGAGATGTAAAAGGCTCTGGGGAGTGCGATGAACTGGAGCGAGCAAACAGAAGTGGGCAAACAGGGGTGTGGCACAGCAGTGAGGGCATGGCACAGGCAGTTTGAACAAGCAGGGCAAGCAGGTGGGGTGAGCAGGAAGGACTCCTCTCTGACCACCTGGGAGCAGCCAGCAGAGGCAGCAAACAGACTCAGTAGCTGGTAGTAGTGAGCAGTAGTCTGACAGTTCAAAAAGCATGTGAATAATGCTCTCAGGCACATGCTGCGACTCTTGACTTGATCCTTGTGGGTCCCTTCCAAATCAGCATATTCTGTGACCCCGTAGCTCTCACAGACCCGTGTTGAAGTGGGAACTTCAGTCCATGTTTGTTAAAGAAGCCCTCCCCTTGAGTCACGAGGTGCAGAAAGGACCCCCTTGCTTTCTAAACTCCTTCTCAGAGAAGAGCCTGGGTGCAGCTGAATCCAGTTTAGCTCCAGACTCTGTCAACCATTTAAGTCTAAAGAATTATAGAGGTGCGATGGAACCTTTGTACAACTTTGTCCCCCAGGATTAAAGATGGCAAATCAGATATATTTATATAAAATGAATTATTTATTATGAAAAATGATTAGACAAAAGATCTTAATCCGAATTATTTACTGAACAGTATAGAAGCTAAAACTACCAGTATAATACAGGATAGGATATAGTGCACTATATCAAAGCAATTATATTAAAGCAATGATATTAAAGCTAGCAAAAAAGAAAGAAATTATTATTAAGTGGAGATTGATGTAACTCACCCATACCAATGACCGTGGGCATATCTCTTCCAGTCAGCCTTGAGGAGTAACCTCGAGGGGCATCCTCTACTCAAGGGAAAAATCTCCACACTCTAACATGACTCCAAGAAAGGTTATGTTAGAAGAACCTACTGTATGAAAGTGGACTGGACTGTAGAAATAGTATAAAGTGATTGACTGTCAGTCATATGTCTCCAGATCAGTTTAGAAGCTTGTCTGCCAAAATCTTTGCCTCACTGTCAGGATGTTAATTTGGGGTTGATGAGCCAGACTAGTTTTAGCATAATTCAGCAACAAAAACCAGCACATGACTGCCCTCTCTCAGTCCACCACTGATAGTCTTGCAAATAGGGTATTGTTCAAGTTGCTTGACCACATTCCAAGGCAGAGCATCCTGCTACAACTGATAGCCCTCACAGCCCCCATAGCCCTCACAGCCTTAATAGCCATCACAGAACAAGTAGTCCTCACAGTCCCTAATATCCCCTATATCCCTCACACACCCCATATTCCCCCAGATCTCAAAGACCTCAAAGCCCCCATACTCCTCACAGCTCCCATAACCCCCATAGCCCTTACAGCCCCTACAGCCCTCCCAGCCGTCAAAAATCCCATAGCCCTCACAAGCCCCATAGCCTACAAATCTCCTATAGCCCTCACAATCTACGTAGCCCTCATAGCCTCTAAAAGCCCCCACGGCTCTCACAGCCCCTCAAAGCTCCTATAGCTCTCACAGCTTCCATAGCCCTCACCCCTTAGAGCCCCTGCAGCCCTTACAGCCCCACAGCCCTCAAAGCCCCCACAACTAGAAGGTGAAGGGTCTCCTTCCCTCACTCCATGGGACTTCTACCACCACTTCTCGGATCCAGAGGAAGACCAGAACTCCAACAGGACTGCCACTGCCACTCTTGACAAGACTGTGATCATCACTCCAACAGGACTGTGACCATCATCTGGACCAACAGGTTTCCTTTCCTGTTACTTTGCACCCAGGGGGGCCCGTGGTGCTCAGCACAGGGGCAAACGAACACCATTCTGTTCTTGCCCCAGGGTACGGGGTTATACATCTGTCTTTGGGGGTTAAAACCAGTTTTTTCTCTGTATCATTGCATTTATTGTAATCTTTTTAGTAAATTGTAACTCTTGACTTGTAATCTCTCTCTAGTTGGGTTCATTTCTCCCGCCGGTTTACTTTTAAACCAGCACACCTCCCCACTAACTTGGGAGCAGATTTACATGCCGCTTTCCACAGTAATTCACGCACAGATGATTCAATTGTCTGTGAAGCAACCGCTGCTGCATCATCCATTTCGATCTATAACTCTGGTGGAGCCATCATCGCTGGGAAAAGCAGCCACAGGGCTCCAGTGCTCGGTGCTGGGACATCCCAAAATGTGGGGAGTCACCACCACGACCTCCCCAGTCCCCAACTTTCCCCATAGCCACAGGTCAAATAGCTGTTTTTACAGTTCAAAACTTTCTCTCTTGTATTCCTTCCCCCAGAGCCTGCAGGAAAGAATGCTAAGTTTGTAACAACACTCTGTTATCTTCCTTGAGAGAATTACATTTCTCTCAACAGACATAAAACAACCCAAAAAGGAAACAGTGTGAAAATTCCCACACTGAAACAATATTCTTAGCATCTGCAGCTGCAAACTTATCTTGAGCGAAAACAACTGAAGAAAAACACCTCCTCGTCAGATCTTCCGCTTTCAAGCCCTTCCTCCTCACAGCAAGGTAGGCAAGGCAAAGCAAGAAGACCAGTGAGGGGAAGGCAAGAAAAGAGAAAGGAGTGGTAGGTAAGGGAAGGCCAGGAAGCAGTAGGATGGGTAAACAAGGCAGGAGAGAAGGCAGCAAGTCAAGTGGAGAGACAGTAGGCAAGGCAGGGGGAGGGATATGTAAGCAAGGCAAGGCAAGAAAGGGGCAGCAGGCTAGTGCAGGAAGGGGATAGGTATGCAAAGCAATGTAAGCAAAGGAGTGGTAGTCAGGGCAAGGCAAGGTAGGTGAGAAGCAGGCAATGAAAGGCAAGGCAGAAGAGGGGTAGGCAAGGTAAGGTGAGGTGAAGGAGGGGTGGGAAATGAAAGGCAAGGACACAGAGTGGTTGGTAAGGCAAGGCAAGTCAGAGGAGAGGAAGACATGGCAAGGCAAGGCCAGGCAAGAAAGGAGGGGTAGGCAAGTCAAGGAAGAGAATGGTATCTTGCAAGCCAAGGGAGGGGTAGTCGGGGCAAGGCAATGCAAGTGATTTGTAGGCAAGGCAAGAGATGGGTCTGGAAGGCAAGGCAAGTGAGAGGTAGGCAATGAAAGGCCAGGTAAGGGAGGTATAGGCTATTCAAAGCCAGACAAGGGAGGGGTAGGCAAGGCAATGCAGTGCAAGGGATAGTCAGGCATAGCAAAAAAAGGCAAGGTTGGGGAGGAAGGCAGGTAGGCTCAGTACTTCAGAGGCAGATGACAGGCTGCAGCAGCCAGGAGCAGCTTGTTGTCCTAGCACATTTTGTGTGGGAGCAATCCCCTGACATTTGCCATTATGGAGCTGGTATAAAATTTTTGGAACTAACCTTCTGGAAAAGGATAACAGTGTTCTTCCTTAAGAATGAAAGCACATCGTCCTGCAATAATAATTGGGTGTCCAGAGAATTAAAGAGACAGCTACAGGTTTTCTGTCTGGCATCTTTTGTGTGGGAGCAACCTCGCAATGTATTTGATTTGTCAGGTCGTCTCTACATTTCAGAGGTGGTGTCTGTAATATTTGGCAGTCCTTTTATTTTGGGCCACATAAGCTATTGCCAGTCTTGATGTATAGATGATATACTGCACTGGGGAGGTAATGCCCAGTAATGGTGTTCTGGTACCTTCATATGGGATCAGTCCCTGGATGGTTTCTATTTTGAGGTGGGGGGGGTCACATTTCTTCTGAGATGTGGGGTCTTAGTTGCTCTCTGTGGCACGGAAATGATTTTTGGATCCACACACTTGGCAGGCTTGGTGAATTTTATTGCTTTTCCTAATATACAGTGCTACCGGTTAGAGCTGTTGAACCTCTAGAATGGGAATGTAAAAGCCAAGCTGCTGGGCTTTTTGTCCTGGTCCTTTTAGTGTCTGAGCACTTAATGGTGGGGTTCAGTTTTGGATCCTGACTCCGTGAGACTGAAGGATTATGAGGGTACATAGAAGGTGCAGATACTGGCGTGTGAGGTGCAGTTCAGTGGGTGCAGTTGAAGGTGGAGCCAGCAAGAGCTTTCTCATCTGACGCTCTTCTGAGAGTTATTTTTGCCAGATGTTTTCGTTTTTGTTGCTGGATTCTGCAAAAGTGAAAAAATATATTAGCACATATAATTGGGAAGGAGTGCGTGCTGCCACTTGAGCGTGGTGCAAATAAGAGTATGCACGTGAACGGGGAAGGTCAGCAAAACCTTTATGTCCTGACACGTTTAGTCTGAGACCAGTGACGGGACTTTGTCACCTTTGGAGCAGCACTTTGGGCTGATTTGTGCGTACGCAGGGCCATCTACAGGAGCTGTTAAACGGCGATATGGGGGGAACGTCCACTAGATGGCCCCGCGTACGAGAAAAAGGCGTAAAATGGACCGTGGTTACCTCAAAACCAACGAATTCGGAAGATCCAAAGTTCAAAACGTCCTCTACTGCTCTCAAAGAAATCGTGCCAGCAATCAGAAAGACTTCGCTGACCGTCCCTTCCATTTGCAGGCTTGTGCTCGCACAACAATCAAGTGGCACTTAGTTTTCCTTGCAGCCTGAAAACTGCACACGCAACCACGGTGCACTGCAACTTCCATCTCCGCTATATGTAGCATTGTGCATTTTTCGCGGAGTCTGAAAGGTCCATCCACTTCTCGTAAAGAAAAATTACCTTCCTCGTTCATGTGCAAACTCTTATTTGCACCACGCTCAAGTGGCAACACGCACTCCTTCCCAATTATATGTGCTAATACATTTTTTCACTTTTGCAGAATCCAGCAACAAAACCGAAAACATCTGGCAAAAATAACTCTCAGAAAAGCGTCACATGAGAAAGATGTTGCTGGCTCCACCTTCAACTGCACCCATTGAACTGCACCGCAGCCCTGGTATCTGTACTTTCCTTCTCAGCTCTACGAACCACCACAACCTTCAGTCTCACGGAGTCAGGATCCAAAACCGAACCCCACCGCTAAGCGGGGCTGCGGCCGTGGGGAGCGGGAGGCGCTCCCGCGGTCGGGGCGTGCCAAAGGGGCCCCTCCCGCGGGTCCCACCGTCGCCTCGGGTCCCGTTCCCGGGAACTCCGCCCTCTGCCCCGCCCCGGGGTCTCGCCGCGCTCTCGGGGTCCCCGCCCCAAGGCCCCCGCGGAGCCACTGGCGGATCCCCCCGCGGGCAGCCGGGGCAGGGGCGGGGAAGGGCGGAGCGCTCTCCGGCCCGGGAGCGGTTCCGGGTCGGGAAGGCGGGATCTGCGGCGGCACCGGGGACCGCGGAACGGCGGCGACATGGTGGGGGGGGGGGTCGGCGGGCAGGGGGGAGGGCGCGGAGGCCCCGCGGCGGGCTCTGACCGCCTCTCCCCCCGCAGCGGTTCCGCTTCTGCGGGGACCTGGACTGCCCCGACTGGGTGCTGGCCGAGATCAGCACCCTGGCGAAAATCGTTAAGTGCCCGCGCCCCCCGCGTTCCCCTGCCCGCCCCCTCCCCGCCCCGGGCCCGCTGCTCACCCTCCTTGTTTCCCGCAGTCCTCGGTGAAGCTGAAGCTGATCTGCGCCCAGGTGCTGCGGGACCTCCTGGGGGAGCCCATGGAGGTGAGTGCGGGGCTACCGCGGTGGAGGCCAAGTGTTTCAACACTACAGTGGCATAATCAGCAATATTAATTAATTTCATACTCTTCATGCAGCCTCTGCAGTAAGAATGCTACCAGCCACTGCTAGTAGCAATACTATGTATATTAAATGTTATTAGTATTAATATTAAGGTAAGAATTATTAGTATTAATGTTGGTAGTGAGTGTGTTACCTGGTGTTTACTGTGATGCTCTGCTCTCCTGCAGTATGAGAAGATCCTGAAGCTGACCTCAGATGCAAAGTTAGGTGAGCACTGCTGTCCTTACTGGGATCACCCCATGGAGCCCCACTCTGGGGCTGGGCAGCGATTCGGCTGGAGTTACCTTCCCAAGGTGGCAGAGCTCACCCTCCATCCCATCCGCAGAGTCAGGGGACGTGAAGGCGACCATCGCTGTCCTCGGCTTCATTCTCTCCAGTGCAGCCAAGCACAATGTAGACAGCGAGTCCCTGTCAAGTGAGCTGCAGCAGCTGGGGCTGCCCAAAGGTAGGGGGGACCCTCAGGGTGGCACCACGGGCCAGACCTGGTGGGATGTGCCCAACGCAGTTCCCAGCGCTGCCTTCTTCACACTCAGATGCAGGGCAGGCTGGACACCGTGCTGTCCTCCATCACCTCCCTGCTGCACCATCCATCCCCTGGGGCTCCTCAGGTGCTTTGGTGGAGTTTGGTAATTGCAGGGCTGGTGTGAGCAGGGGGGTTCTCGTCTTGTCTCTCCTCACGAGCAGAGCATGCCAGCGGGTTGTGTCGTTCCTATGAGGAGAAGCAGAGCTCCCTCCAGGACAGCCTCAGGGCCTGTAGCCTGCGATGTGAGTGGGATGTTGGGTCTTAACAGGGTTTTGGGTGTTGGTGGCAGTCACCCTGCTGGAGTGAGCCAGGGTGCTGACACCACCCCCACTACCCACCCCAGTGAGCCAGCTGGGCTTGGTGCGCTGGCGGGTGGATTACACCCTCAGCTCCAGCGAGCTGCAGGAGGTCAACGAGCCCCTGGTGCATTTGACATTCAACGTGCAGAACAGGGAGTGTGGGAGAACGACGGCTGTCTCCATGACCGTCTCGGCTGACAAGTTCCGGGTGCTGCTGGCAGGTGAGGCTGGAGGATGGGTAGCATCAAGGACCTCCAGGGCCATGGGGGATGCTGGGAGGGATGCTGCTGGGGATGTAGCGGCTCCCTCACAGCTCCATCCTCTCCCTGCAGAGCTGAAGCAAGCCCAGACCCTGATGAACACCCTTCTCTGAGGAGCCAGCCTCCCATGGTGGGAGTCACGGACACCGAGTTGCTGGGTCGGATCTGGTGCTTCTGGCTGGGAAGGGGGATTTTTCCCTGCTCTCCTGGCTTCTGGGGACCCTGGGGGTAGCTTCAATAAAGTCCCAGTGACAAAGCCGAGCCGTGTCGTTCTGTGTCTCCCCGCGGCGGGGCCGCCCGGCAGGACTACAAGCTCCGGCATCACCGCGCAGCCAATGGGAGCGCGCACCGCCCGCCGCGCAGCCAATGGGAGCACGCACCGCCCGCCGCGCAGCCAATGGGGGCGGGCGGGCTCAGTCGGATGTGCCGGCGGCAGCGCGGTGGCGGCTCCGCGGTGCGGCGGCGGCGATGCCCGAGTGCCCGGAGCTGCACCTCGCCGGCTGCTTCATCAACGGCGTGTGCGGCGGGCTGGTGTTCGCGGGCGGCGTGGAGCGCTCGGCAGTGGGCCGCGGCCCCGAGGTGCCGTTCCGCAGCGAGGCCTACCGCATCTCGGCCCTCGCCCGGGGCAAGGAGCTGCGGCTGACGCTGAGCGCGCTGGACCCTGCCGCCGCCGCCGCCCCGCCGCCGCAGGACCTCGTGTTTCGTTTCGGCATGTCGGGGTCGTTCCGGCTGTGCCCGGCCGCCGAGCTGCCCCGCCATGCCCACCTCCGCTTCCTGACCCGCGAGAGCCCCCCCCGCGCCCTGTGCTTCGTGGACCCCCGCCGGTTCGGGTCCTGGCGCCTGGGGGACGCCTGGCAGCAGGACCGCGGGCCCTGCGTCGTCTCCGAGTACCAGGCTTTCAGGTGAGCGCCCTGGTGGAATGCCCCCTGGTTGGGTTTGGCTGCTTTTCCTGCACGGACATGCCCAGGTGACTCTTCTTGTTGCCCCGTGCTCTGTTGCAGGGAGAACGTGCTGAATAACCTGGATGACAAGGCTTTTGACAAGCCCATCTGTGAAGCCCTCTTAAACCAGAAGTATTTCAATGGAATTGGGAATTACCTGCGTGCTGAGATCCTGTACAGGTAAAGTGGGTTGAGCATCCGCTGGCCTGCCATGGAGGTTTGGTCTCCAAGAGTTTGCTGGAGCTCGATGGCTCTTTGGTTAAGCTATCTGTGCCTCCTCACCCTGGTAGATGCAGACAGTGCCAGAACCAAGGGTTCAGGCTTGTGTATAACTCTTTCAGGTTGAAGATCCCTCCCTTTGAAAAGGCTCGGACTGTGCTGGAGGCCCTGAAGGATCAGAAACAGGAGAGGAGGAAGAAGGTGAGGAATACCAGGTGCTTTCATAGGGTCAGGAAGTGCCAGATGTCGTACTAGGAGTTTGGTTGCCTGTGGCCCTGCAGGACGAGCTGTGCCCGGCTTCTACCTTCAAGAAGTCCATGAATATTTTTGGGGTGGGTGAAGAGGAAGAGATGAGGGAAACAAACACCTTGCAAGCTTAAAATCTCCAAGAAGGCTGTAGTAAAGCCCAAGGCTGTTCTTGTGGCCTTTTGAAGTGGCTATTTTAAAGAAGCCTGAAATCAAACTACATGACCTGAGAAGTGTTTTTAAAACTGCTGATGTTGGTGTGTGTTAGCCCTCTTTCATGTCTTTGTAGCTAAGCTGGAAGGCCACACTGGGGTGAGCTCAGGGCTGGCATGTGTGGAGAGTGTGGCAACTCATCCTCAGGAGGGCAAAAGACAAAGAATTTGGGTGCTGTTGGGGAGGAGAGACCCTGAGGAGGCAGAAGTAGCTGGCAGGTGACTTTCCTCCCCTTCTCCACCCTTGCAGGATCCTTCCCTGACACTGAGCAAGAAGGTGAAGCTGATGCAGAAGAACGCGGATCTCCTGGAGCTGTGCCACACCGTGCCCATGGAGGTCATCACGGCGGGTGAGGAGACAGGACAGGATGCTGGGGAACAGGGACAGCTGGGGGAGGCTGGGGCTTTGCATTCCCGGCATCAGGAGGTTTGGGAGGGCATCCCGACACCATGATCATGGCTTCTGCTCTAATTCTGTCCTTTTCCTCTCTTCCTTCCCAGAGAAGCAGTTTTTGGACCCTGAGCACTCAGATAACTATGCCACCTTCAAGAACTGGCTGCAGTGTTACTTGGTGCCTGGCATGAGCTCCCTGCGTGACCACAACGGCAGGACCATGTGGTTCCATGTAGGTGCCTGGGGTCACTCTCTGGGGCTGGGGGCGCCCAAACCACCCCTCCAGCCCATTTTCTGCTTGCTGAGACTCCCATATATGACGCTGTGTGGCTGGAGATCTCCCTCTCCACCAAGCTGCTGGGCGTGGAGGTGACAAGGACCCTCTGTGTGGTGACCAGCTGGCCAAGGGATGGTGGGCAGTCTGGAGCAGATGGATGGAATGAGGTCTGGAGCCCTGTTTTTCCCTCCTGTGCCCTGTGTCTGTGGCCTTGCAGGAACAGGACTCACAGGAGAGTCCCCAGTGCACAGGGCAGGCAGAGCAAGCCTGACTCTCCTGGCTTCCCAGAGAAATGTGGCTCTTTCCCTATCACTGCGAGAGGGAGAAGGGGCAGGGATTCTGCTGCTGCTGCCTGCAGAATGACTGCACCCCAGTCAATGCTCTGTCCCTTCCTTGCAGGGAGAGCCTGGTCCCATGGCTCCCACAGGTGAGTGTCCTCTCTCCCGCCCGTGGGACCCACTCTTGCTCTGGGAGGGCTGGACACTGGGCAGCCCTGTCTTTTCTGTGTAGCACAAGGGCACAGGCAGGAGCAAAGCCCCTCTCCCTGGGGTGCTGACAGGCCTGTGACAGCCGTTGGCACCAGGGGACAGAGCCCATTTTCCCCAGGGCTTCCTACCAGCATCCCAACCTGCTTGGGCACAGCTGTTGCGCTGGCAGGATGGTTTTTCATCCTGCAGTTCCTCAGTGCTCAGCTCACATCACCCAGGACAGCATCCCTGCAAGCGTGTCCCTCACTCCCCCTGACCTGGGCATGTCCTCTCATGCAGGGCAGAAGCACCAGAAGATGCCCCGCAAAAAGCGCACTCAGCTGAAGGCAGACCCTGAGGCACTGACCCCTAAGGTAAGCAGCTTTGTGGTTGTGTCTGGCTGTCCTGTTCCCCTTAACCTTGCTCAGGCTGCTCCTGAATTCATGGTGGTGATCCCATGTGGAGCTTTTCATCCTCTGTGGTGCTCCAAGCACGCTTCTGCTGCTGAGCTGCAGCTCTGATGTCCACCCAGGTCACCTCACGCGCCTTGAAAAGGCACCCCAGGGCTGCAGCAACCCCCCAAAAGTCAGATGAGAAGGAGGAGAAAGAGGCTGATGGGCCGAGGAAGGGACGTGCTCGCCGGAGGAGGAGAGGGACCCCTGCTCCAGCCTTGCCTGAGCTGGAGGTGCTTCTCAACACCAGAAGAAGTCCCCGGATATCTGCACGCAGGGGCAGAGGTGAGGCTGGCAGCCCCTGCGGCTTTCACGTGCACAGGGGGGGCTGTGGGAGTGCTCAGTTGTATCAAAGGGACTGAGGGGTGCCAGATGGCAGGAGAGGAGCCAGTGGAGGAGAGCCAGACACTCCTTCAGCCTCTGACTCCTCATTTCCCTCTCTGTTTTTCAGGTGCAGTCCCTGTCGTGTGAGTGCTGCCCACTGCCCACCTCCTGAGGGGCATTTAATGGCCCAGGAGGAGCTCAGGGAGGGCTTGGCCAGGAAAGTGCATTAGAGATGGGGGAAATTGAGGCTTCTCAGTACCTGTGCTCACAGCTGCTTGCAACTGTTGCATCCTGCCAGTGCGTGAGGGAGAAGCTGGGCTTGGTGGCAGGGTATTCTCCTGCTGTCCAGAGGCATTTGAGGGGGAGAAGAGCCAAGACCTTACTTTGTGCTGGACTCTGACTCTTCCCTCTGCCTAAAACTGGGTTCTCTCTTCCCTTTCTGGCTGCTGCTCCAATCACTGTTTTTAGCTGACTAAATAATAAAATATTTTGTGTAGAAATCACAGTGCATGCCTTTTCATGCTAAGGATAACCCCTCTGAGCCCAGCCTCTTCCCCAAGAGGCTGTAGCAGGCTTCCCCTCCACCTCACCTCCCCTGAAGTAAAGATAAGCTCTGCCTCCCCAGTTCCAGGAGATCCTGCTGAGGAGGACACTAAGGGAGCAGCAGCTACAACAAAGCACCTGGGAGGAGGCAGGTCAGTGCAGTTACCTGGAATAAGTTAAGAAAACAGGCTCGAGCTTGATGTAATTCTCTTATTTATTTGTGTTCTCCATCTGCAAGGGCAGTGCAAGGGGCAGGCGGAGGAAGGGGGGAAGGAGTAGAGTGTGATTTTTATAGTCACTGCTGGACAAGATGAAGGCTGAGACACAGGAAACACTGTGGAAGCTGCTGCTCCCCAGGGCCCCGGGGCTGGAACAGAGCCCATACAGGGCCACCATCCTGTCCACACCCTTATCCACACTTTGGCAAGCTCAGCACTCAAGCCCACCTACCCTGGTTGGGCAGTGGGCAACTGTCCTCCTTCCCTGAGGAACATGATTGTTCTCAAGCACTGCTCTCCAATGGCTGGGTGTGGGACACGGGGAGACTGCCCTGCTCTGGAACTGCTGTCTTGTACAGCTCTTGGGATCGAGGAAGGCTCAGGCTGTGATTTGAGCTCACAGTGTTGGTCCAGGTTGCTGCAGCATCAGCCAGAGCAGTGGATGGTGTCACAGGCTCAAGACCAGGAGGACAGAGAGCACGCAGAAGGGTGTGAAGGAGAGCCTCAAGCCCTGCTGCCCCATTGGCAGGCGGCCCTGTGCTGGTCGCTCCAGGAGGTCGCAGCTGAGGAGGAAAGCACACGAGGCTGAAGGCACTGATCTCCATCCCCATGCACACCCAGCCCTTTGGCACGGACCACGGACTTACAGCATCGCCTCCTTAACGGGGAGGGAGGTCTGGAGCCAGGCAGTAACCGTGCTGCCATACGCCTCGTAGAGCCGAACCACCACAGCTTCAGGTCTGCCCTCAGCCTTTGGGGGACAGTGCAGGTGGGAGTTCAGACAAATGAGACAGGCACAGCCTCTCCAACCCAAGTTGTTCTGCTCAGCTGAGCCTAACCACCACTCAGTGTGGAGGAAAGAGCAAGCCATGCTCAACAACAGCACCTTAACCCCCTCTGCCCTCCCCACCTCTGCCCCGGCACCTGCCTGCTTGACAGTCTCCAGCACGACGGCAGGTGAGCTGACAGAAAAGG